CCCCCCACCCCCCCACCCCGAGGGCCCCAGGTACTCACCAGCAGACGGTGGCGGCACCTGGAGCCTCGGCGGCGGTGGGGGACTCAGGGAGTCGCCGGGGACGAGCGCAGGGAGGGCGGGTTTGAGGGGTGCCGGTCCAGTCGCTTCACCGTGACTCAGCGCTTCGCGGCAGGCGGCCTCGGGGAGGACGGGAGGCGGGAGGCGGGAGTCTCTGGGTCTCGGGGGCCCTGGGCGGGGGCGACACTCCCTGTTTACCCTCAGCGCTCCGCCCTCCGCCTCTCCCGGGCCAGCTCCGCTGCCCTTCGGCCTCTGTGCCCCTCCCGCCAGGAAGAGATGCGCACTCGGACAATTTGGGGGCGCGTAGGGCTCCAGCAGGGGTGTGTGGCCCGGGAAGGTGTTCTGATCGGCGTCGTGGGAAACTTGTCTTTAACAGGAGTCCGCTTGTCACCCAACCGGCGGAGCTTGGCGGCACTGGTTCTAAGGCTGCCTCCACCACTTGGGGGCGCCACTGGGCTCACCCTCCCTGTGCTTCTGGCTCTCTGTCAAATGAGAATGAAGATGATAGTGCCAACTTCACAGGCTGGCAATGAGAATTAAATGAGCGTGGCACGTTCTAAGCACTACACGATTGTTTGTTACATAAATAACATCATAGACACATAAATGCATAAGTAGAATGCGGCGGGTGGAGACGTGAGTGGAGAAAGATGTAAACACGACAAAAGATGTTTAAATGGTACCGGGACATTTGGTGAAAGTGGCAGACGGCTTTTCTTTCTGCAAAGTACCGAGATCTGTTAAATGCCTCATCAGTTGTTCACAGGCACAGAATCTAACCGTAGGAGTCTGAAAGGACCCAGAAATAGTCTAGATGAGGATAAAACTATTTGCTAGTTGTCTTTAGGTAGGTGATGACAGACCTAAAAAGAAGGCACACTCTAGTGGGCTGAAAGCTGTTATGTTGGTGGAATGCAGTGGGCAGGCTTTGGGGAGTCTTCGCAGCAGAATGAGGAGGTGGCACAAGCCAGCAAGGATATAGTTCACCGCTACGGTCATTAGCTAGAGGGGCAGGCATGGCTGCGATTTCTGTTCTCTGAACACCAGAAGGCTCATTGTCTGGTTTTGAGAAAGGCGGTGGTGCCTCTCAAACAAGGCCAGCAAACTCTGTTTATAAAGGATCAGATAGTAAATACTTTTGACTTTGCAGCCATGTACATTCTCTGTGGAGACAGCTCCAGTTTGCCTTTGTAGTGTGTAACACATCAATAAATGGGTGTGGTTGTTTCTCAACACAACTTTTACTGTGAATACTGAAACGTGAAGTCATAATATTTCTATGATTTTGAATTCATATAATTTTCAGTTTTCACAAAATAATATTTTTTTTTGGCTTTTTTTATTTCAGCCACTAAAATGTAAAAAACATTCTTAGCCCTCAAGGCTGTATAAAATTAGGTAGTGGGCTACCTACCCATTTTGGCTGCAGGTCCAATGTGCAGATCCTGCTCAAAGAACAGGTTAGGAGGGGAATGAAAACTCTTCCCTGGGCTCTTTATGTATCACTGGGGCTCAAACACCCTTCCCAACTTCCCATAGGTGATTTAAGGGTAAATGAGATAATGCACATGAATGTTAAAAGTGCAATAAATTAATAAAATAAAGTAATTACTTCTGCAACTGTCTCCTAGTAAAATAGAAGCATGGACTCTCTATACAGCACTTTGCAGTCCTTAGTAAATGTTTCCACGTTCTTACCAAAAAGCCCAACATTCAGCCAATTGCCTGAACCTGAAATGCAAGTTCTCCTCTCTCATTCTTATATTTTGAAAGCTTGTGAATTGTGATTCTTAATATCTCTTAAATATATCCAGTCCCCATTTTGACTGCCACCGTTTATCCTCTCCAATAGTCACCCCACTCTTCCTGCTTTCAGGCTTGCCACTGGCCAACCCATTCTTCAAATCACCGGCAAATGAAATGAGCAATTGCCTAAAATCCTGAATGGCTTCTCATTACCCTTAAGAGAATGTTCTAAGATATCCTTGACCTGGCCTAACCCTGGACACTCTCACTCAAGGACAAATACACACACACACACATACACAATAATAGGTGCACTCCTCATTCCTTCCCACCATGCTGAACTTCTTTTAGGCTCCAGAATGTGCATGCTCCCTTTAGTTGACTTGCTGTTTTACAGTGTGGAATTTTCCCTCTCTTTCATTTGGCTTATTCCCATTTATCTTTCAGCTCTTAGTTTCAGGTCCCTCCCTCTGGGAAACACTTAGTGCCTGTCCCTGCAGTTCTGATTGGGATGTATGACATGGCAATCCTTACACCTACACATTGTTCTCCAGAGCCATTGTTTGTCCTTTGGAAGATTCTATTTTCCTAAGATGGCCGAATAGTATCTCCCTCGAACATGCTTTTCTTCTGCAATGTGACCTTGATACCCCTCTGTCAAAAGTGAAGTTTACTTCTCTTCCTCTTGAGACTAGGCAGAGCTTGTGGCTGCTTTGACCAATGCAATACCGTGGAAGTGACATGGTGCCAGTTCTGGGCGTGACTCTGAAATGGCCTGGCAGCTTCTG